TACTCTCTTTACAATAGGTAACTCGGTGTTCTCTTAGATTTAACTCTTCAAGTCAAATATATGCAAAGCCTTCTCTATGTTTACCAGTCTTTCTGCCGCTCTTTCAAAGCGGGGGTCAAATTTCTTGAGATATGCTGACTAGGAGTAAGTGTAAGGAGTATCTGATAATGACAGCAGTGTTAAAGACATCATTTATAATGCACTTGGAACTGGCTTTTGACACGGTTGTGTTTCAGAAATACCCAGACTAACTTTTGATCATTTTTTAGAATAAACCTGAGTGTACTTTGCATTGACTTCTTGATCTGCTGTTTGTCAAAAGCTTGTTCTGAATTAACCTTCTCCTGCACAGTCCTTTTTCCTTCCCATGCTTTTTTCTCCTTCAGGCGCAGGTTGTGCCACAGTCCGCCACTAATTCTGCCTGCGTCCACAGATGCCTGTGGTTTCTATGTCCTGTGAGGGTTCCTTTTTCTGTTGTTTTGTTGGAACAGTTTCTTAGGAAACCTGGAATGGGGTGCAGCGCATTGGGTTTTGTAAAGGTGCACACTAAAAGGTTGGCTGTTGTTCTGCATGTGGTCTTGAGTTGGGTCCAGCAGCACAGGTGAGTTCTTTTTTAAGTAAGAAGCCAGCAGGTTGTTTGCACTGGAGCTGTATCTTCTGCTTATTGATTACTAATATGACAGACAAGTGTCATGAGCACTTCATTCAGCAGAGCACACTAGGCATGTTAAGACTGCATTACACATCTGCTAGAGAACAAAATCAAATGTTATGTCTTCTTTTTGATCATTTTTTTGACCAATGCTTTGGTGCCAGGAACGGCCCAGCAGCAGCTGATGGTTAGATGCTGAAATTTCATAATTTGAAGGCAACATGCATTACCTTTAGGGTATTCAAGGCTTTTTCTTTCCACTAGTATTTCTGTTACAGTTTCATGTTCAGCATTTAGATCTTGTACAACTAGCTTAATAGTTAAATAACAACAAGCATTAGTAGCTTGTGAGTGTGAAAATGACCTCAGGACTTGTTTTGACTTGTGTAGCCTTCCAGACTTCGTGTAGAACTTAGGCCTATCACCTAATTTCTCTTCTTCAGTTGGCCAGATCATAAAATAGTTATGTTGCTGCCAGATTTGACAGGAAGATACTGTGTTTTTGCCTGAAGCAAAACTGCTGCTGAATGACAGTTGTTTTTTTTTTTTTTAAGCTTTAAAATACCCCAAAGCTGATTTGTTTTTTTTTCTTCTATGCCAGCATGAAAAACAGGCTGCTTGTGAAGTACTTGCAGACGAACTGTAAGGTTGCTTAATATCTCTTTGCTAACTCAGCTTTGGTATAAACAAGTGGCTGTCATAAACTCATGCAGTGTCTAGTTTGATGACTTTCTCTTGATGACTTTATTATGAGATGCAACAGACAAAGGGATCACCAACATCAGCTAGAGGAGTAGGGCAAGACTGTGCAGAGGTGCAGATCTAGCATAAGGTAGGCAGGCAGTCCTGTTCCAGGAAAGGAAAAGTTGCAAATAATTGCCGAGCAGCACTTCTCTATTAAAAGTGTCTGTGCTCCTGTTGTCAGGAACTGACGGGTTATGATTTGCTAGGCCCAGTGACTGGTCTGGTGCTCCCCTCATTCTACACCTGTTGCTGCTGTCTGGTGTGTTCACTTAGCTCTCCTGAGCTGTGCTTCTCAGGCCTTAGTCTTCTGTAAGGTGCAGAGCTTCCTTCCAGGGAGCAGGGCTACAGAAGGAGCAGCAGTGGGCAGTTCTGCCTCATTACAGTGGCAGCAGACAGCCAGAGGGATTGAAGGACTCATGGAACTGGAACCTGTGACCCATACCACTCACTGCTGCTTCAAATTTTCCGAATACCAGTAGGGTACAGAGTGTTCGGTTGTGCCTGCCTAGGATAGATCTGCTTTAACTTTTCTGGAGACAGCAGTGAAGTGACTAGTAGTACATCAAAGCTGCATTGTTGTTCTGATCTGTTTGAAGCTACTAGCAGATAACTACGTGTGTGATCACTTTCTGAATAGAAAGCAAATCTGCACTGTGGCAATCAGGATTAATTTAAGTGTTACCACTGTACCTGAACAACTTAGTATGTGATATTTTTGGGAGCATTACTTTATTGACCACAGCAGAACAATAGGCCAGCGTTTCCGGTTGATCTGTTTAACAGGCTATTTTAGTCTCTTGTATAAAATGGCATGAATCAATGGAGGAAGCACAGCATGCATTTATCTTGAGTAACAGAAAAATGGGGGTAAAATGGGGTTTTGTTAAACTACAGTTCCTAGGGGAGATGGTGCATCTGTATGGCTATCCTTAGTAAGTTGGTCCTGTGCAAGAAATGTAGCATAGCTAGCCCAGTATTGATTTCTTCAACTGGTTTTGTTGTTGGAATCATGATAATCTGCAAATTAATCTCCCAGATTTTTAGGAACAGGGTTGGAAAAATTACGCCTCTGGCAACTAATGGAATGTAGAGTGCTGAGGACTTTAAATCACTCGAGAAAAACAGTTGCACTTTGAGACAGAAATGATATTATAGAAGATTAAATGCAACCTCTGTGCCCTTGTCTATGTGCTAATTAATTTATTTTCACAAGCACAGTGATTTTGTGAAATTCCGGTGCATCTGGTGTATGTTTCTGGAAGCCTGTGTGTCAGCTGGTAAAGTAACTCTGTACTGTTAGTTACAATTTGCTTGGAAGAGGCAGAACATGTGCGTTTAAATTACAATGTGTAGACCTGTATTTAAATGTGAAAACTTGTTTCTTGTTAACGATGAAAGAAATGTTGCTTTTCAGGGTTGCTGAGGATGCTTCAGAAGCCTTTGCTTTAATACATGTAGTTTCTCTTCTGTGTTGTATAATTTGTGTATCCAGCCTGCTGAGCACTCAGTAGGAGCAGCCTATTTTTAACCTTGGTTTGTTTATGCAAAACCAGTTGAAACAGAGCATTAGTTTAATCCTTTCTTCTTTTGTTTCACACCTCAATTCTCTTAGCGTGTCTATTGCAAAGGGTCTTATTCTTTAGGATTGCTACCAGGCCTGATTTGTGAATCATCTGATAAAGAGCCAACTCCACTCCCAGAAATGTGCCTTAGGTAGAATTGTATGCTGGTGAGTCAGCTTCGGGGCAGCATTTTCAAAGGAACGCTATATAAATTACACAGTATCCATGTGGGGGTGGCTTAGTGTTAGGAGAAATCTGCTCTAGAGCATCGTGCACACATCCACACAGAGCTGAGTCAGTCGGCTTCAGTCAGATCGAGTGCTGCTTGCACTTCTGTTAAGTGCAAAGGTATGTGTGACACTTAAAGAAAATCAAAGGCATCTTGTAAGAATGTACTGTATCCCACAGGAGGAGAAGGAATACAAAAGACAGCATTTAAAAAGACCAGAAAGCATTGGTACTTCCTCCTTTGTCATGATGCAGAATAGGTTTTGTTTTTTTTTTTTTAATAGCAGTCTAATAACTTGATTAGTTTTAATGTTAAGGAAGCAAATTGGGGTAGAAAAGAAGGCATGCTAAACATATGGGTAAACCCAGAAAAGTTCAGGCAAATACTGAGAAGCAGCCAGTCGGTTGTACTCCACATCTTCAGAATCTTGTGGTTCTCTGTCAGAAAATCTGGTGTTTGCCAGAATTTTCCCTTTTGTCTTACGAGGTGGACCTGAATGTTATGGCCAACTCCTCAGTATCCAGGCCGTGTGCTGAGTCTGTCCTTTCTCTCTCCCTTTCCCATAGATGCAGAATCCATCGAGTGCTTGGTTCAGTTCTTGCTGCTCTTGCCAGAGTTCTTTTTTTTTTAAAAAAAAAAAAAAAAAAAGAAAGGAATTGGAAGAAAAATCCACTATTTTTTGAAGTGGTATAGGACTAAGTAGCATACGTTTGTGCATGACTCTTTTACCTCTTATTCCATCCATGCTCAATTGCTTTTGGTAAACATGAGATAATCCACTGGTAATGGAAATAATTGTTTATGTGAATCTGAGTCACTATTCTTCAGTTCCATATAAATAGAAAAATATTTAGATTTAAGTGAAGGCATTGGTATCTGTGACATTGGAACTACAAGATACATTTCCTCTGGATGGACCTCTGTAGCTCTGTATTCTAAACAAGTAACTCCTGTGCAGCACTGCAGCTTGATTTCTTGTTTGTGTAGTCACAGTCCATACTTTATATTCACTTAGGTGAAAATGTGGGTAGTTTCTAATTTTTCAAATTATAACTTGCAGTGAATGACTTGTGGTGTGAGGAGGTGGGTTCCAGTTTTCTTTTTCTGTCAGTGCTAAAATGGTATTAAAAGACGAAGTTTTGCTGTATATGTTATAAAAGTTTCTTAGACGTAAGAGTGGTCACAAGCAAGGAAAAGCAGTCTTCGGGGTGTGACTGGACATGGTGGTAGTTAAACTAGGTTCCTTTCCCATAAAATGTTGGAGCTGGTGGTCTTTTGAAATTCCTTCCAGTCTGGGCTGTTCTGTGAAATGTGTCAGTAGTAAACTAAGCTGGCTTTTAAGAGAAAGCTGCTGTGAGGAACTCTTGTTCTTCTGTCTACAACAGCTGGTGAGGTGAGAGGTGATTTGCACTTTGTGTGTGTTGGGCATTCTTTATCACGGGCAGTTCAACTGCACCCGAAAAGGTGATGTACAATCAAAGTGAAGCTATTGTGATGTTTATTAAGTATGTCAGGCCTTATCATGTTCTCTGGTGAAACTAATTTCCTAATGGCATGACAATTCTGAAAAACATTTATTTTGCTGAGAACAAAACAAGCAGAAATCCCATGAAGGATGTATACATGTCCAGTTATTGACTGATAAAGAGCATGCATACCATCCTTGATACAACTCTGTGTGTGCTAGTGTTTATTAATAGTGTAAATTTTACAACAGTTGTTCTCAGAATTATTGTTATTCAGGATCTACTAAAGTTTACATTTCATTTCCTGCTTTTTAATCCATTTTTTGTCTTCAAAAATCTCTTCTCAGATGAAACAGTGCTGTGAAAGAAACTCTTCAGTAGCCCCTCCTGTGCCTAGTTTGAGCTCAAGGTGTGATGGGAGCAAGCAGCAGGTAGCTTTCCATCAGATTTATTTTTATCTGAAGGGATAATTTGTTCCTTGCCTTCATTCCCTGGTCTTATTGCCAGCTCTGGCAGAACATTTTTTGTCTTCTGGTTTTGTTTTCTTCTGGCTTAGTGAATTTACCCAAGAAACAGCAGGCCCGCTTTGGTACAAAGGAGGGAACAGGACTGCTCAGTTGTGAGTGGGGGGTAAAAATAGATCTGGACTGGTGGCACTGAGCTGTTAGATTGGGTGGGCTGTCCGCTGAACTGACCTTTGGAATCCTTCTGGCTTTCTTCACTGGAGCACATTTTTCTAAGAGTACAGATTATGTGCCTTTACAAATGACTGTGTGGTTTAAAAGTATCTCCCATGTAAAGCTATGGGAAGATACTTAAAGGTTTCTGCACACTGGCACTTTGTATGGTTAAAAAGTAAAATCTAGCACAGAAGTTCTTATAGAATTGCTGTGTTTTTTTTTCTTTTGTATCTGCATAAAAAAAAGAATGACATTTCTGAGCAGTGTCTAATTAAGTATCCATCTGTGTCTATAATCATCACATTAATTATTTTTTCGATGCTATATTCTCCTTTCAGAAAGAAACTGGTCTTTCTCTAATTCTACCTTGAGATCACCTTTTTTTCCATGCTATTATTAGAAAAAAGAGGGGCAAGAAAAACCAGGACTTTTTTAGTATTCCTCTTTATGATCTATGTATTTCTCAATCAGAACTAAGTCAGTTTTTTTTCTCTGATTTGTTGCTAGGAGAAAGATCTGGGCAGCATCACCTCAGTGTGAGGAAAATCACAGTGCAGGTTCTCCTGAAGGCCATTCACAAGCATGTGAGGCATGCAAAGGTGGTCGAAAAACAGCTGTCATTGATTTGTGAATGGCAACTCTCGTGTGACCAACCTGGTGCCTTCTGGGCTGGGGTCAGTGGCTGTGTGGGCAGTGGGCTTGCATTGCCCTTGATTTCAGCAAGACCTTTGCTGTTACGCTCTTGTGGTCACATCAGTGAGACACAGACTGTTCCTAACAACCTCGACAATGGGATGAGGTGCACTCGCTGAGTTTGTGCATGATGGCACGCTGCAGGGAAGGGTTGCTATATTGGAGGGCAGGCTGCTTACTCAGAGGGACTGCAGTGGGCTGGAGAAGTGTGCTGACAGAAACTCTAAGAGCTGCAGCGTAGCGCAGTGTGAGGAGAGGCTGGGACAGCTTAGTTTGTTCAGGGGAAGCTGGGAGAGGGGGAGGGTGGTTTCTGTCTGTGAACATGCTTAAAATCTGACAGGACAAGCTGCAGCCAACCTGATCCGATCAGTCCTGAGTAGGACAAGGAGGTTGGAGCAGACACCTCTGCACCGGCTTCTTCGTACAGAAAGTTTCTGTGATTCCATGACTGTCAGAACTTGGACTGTTAGAGCTTGGTTTTTTTTTGGTGTTGTTCACAGAATTGTTTGAGTTGGAAAGGACATTTGAAGGCCATCCCTAGTCCAGCTCCCCTGCAACGAACAGGGACTTCTACAGTTACGTTAGATGCTTTCACAACAGGAGTTGGAAGAGATCTGGCATGGCTTGAGCAGTCAAAATAAGGTCCTACTTAGTAATAATAAAAAGCTTCTTTTCATAATTATGTTCTTATCAAGGTCAGAACACGTAGATGAGACTTGTTTGGTTTTTTCCTGGCTGGTAGGCTAGCGAGATGGAAAGTCAAGTACTGATATTCTTGTTTTCCCTTTGGGAGCTCTGGGGTATATGATGTTCCCAAATAAAGATGTCTGTGAAAAATGAATCTCTAGTTCATTTTGGCTGCCCTTTAGCTTTGTGTTGAGCTCCATCCTCTGTGCTAATCTCCGTTCTTTGTGCTAAAATGATAGCTGGGGCGAAAGCAGTTCTATGGTTCCCAGCTTAGACTTCAAAATGCATTTCTTTGGGACATCTCTTTATGTATTTGAGCAACCATATTTTTCCTTGCATAAGCAGAAATCAGATCTCAGAGTTCTTGGGAAATGTGTTTTTCTTTTCAAAGCATATTACCACAGGAAAAGCCGGGAGTTGCACTGGCATATATTTACTGCACACCCCACTGTCTGTAATTCTTGGCAAGCCATTTAGTCATGTTTCACTTCAAAATGGGAAAATTATTTGATAAGATGGATTTGCAGATGAAATGTGTAGAAATTCTGTTTTTATTAGAGTATTGGGATGCCTTTGTCTCGAAATATGCAAATTCATCATGTGGGTTTGTTGATACTGTGCTGTGGCCAAGAAAATAAATGGGCTCCTATGTGTTATTTATTACCTACCTTAAATTACCATCTCCATAAATTCTTTTTTAAGTTGCTTTCAAGATAATTTCGCTCAGTGCAAGCACTGGGGACGTTTTCCTTTATATACACTTCCCTGTGTTTTTTTTTTTTTGCTGTTGCTGTTTTTTTATTTTATTTTATACAGTAGATGTAGGGTTGTCATCCCTGTCTTTCTTGTGTGGTCTGTTACTAACTAACTTTTCTTTCCATAACTGGTATTTCCCATAAATATTTTCATAATTCTCTTGCATCGTTTCATTCATTAGCCCGAAGGAAACACAAGCTCTGTTTTAATATTCTTTTAAAAATGAAGTTTCAAAGTGAGATGGGGCAAATGGCACAGTAGAGAGCTTTTGACAGAATCTTTCTAAGTCTTGCTGTCGATAAGCAGCATACTGTTACAGGCAGCTGGGATGGATTGGGAAACTGAAGGAGGATAGAAGGGATAGAAGAATCTCTCAAATCCATACCGTCACAGAACGGCCTGGATTGGAAGGACCTCAGGGATCACCAAGCTTCAACCTTCCCACTGTGTGCAGGGCCACCAACCTCCACATTTCATACCAGCCCAGGTGCCCAGACCCCATCCAACCTGGCCTTGAGCGCCTCTAGGGATGGACGGGGCATCCACAGCCTCTCTGGGCAGCTGTTCCAGCACCTCACCACTCTCACAGGAAAGAACTTCCCCCTGACATCCAGCCTCAATCTTTCCTCCTTCAACTTGAAACCATTTCTCTTGTCCTGCCATTATCTACCCTTGAAAAGAGAAGGGTTAACTCTTCTGTTTGTGAGTTCCTTTAGGTAACCATCTCAGGCTGCTGAAGAATCACCCTTTCCACTTAAATGTATTTTTCAAAACAGTAGGTTAAAGCTTAATATTGCTTTTCCTTATGTGTCTGTGCCATTTTTCATAGTCCATACGTTTGTTTTTCACTGCTCTAAACCCATGAGCAATTTGTTCCGTATAATTCATCTGCAGGTGAATATGGTAATTGAAAGATCCTCCTTCACTTTATTCTGCCCTCAATTACAAATGAGGATTTGGGTCAAAGGCAGAGCGTGAAAAATTAAGATAAAATGATAAATACTGTATTCCTTTAAAAAAAAAAAAGTTCTCTAGGTGCTTTTTGGTTGATAATGTGCAGGTTATCAGTCAGATCAGTAGCTTGATTTTCATACTTGTGCTGAAGAAATGCAATTTGTTAAAATATAATTTAAAGTAAATGTAGGACTGCGATGTGGGTGGATACTTTTTCTTGCTTGTAGCCCATGGTATTTGATGCTGTTTTCCTGGCAGGTTTAGGAGACAGTCTAGGCCAGCTTGTAGGTTCTCATACAGCCAAGGCTTTTATGGCAGCTTTTCGAGAAGCACCCGACTGGTTTTTTAAATGCTCCTAATAAGCTTTACGCATGGCTTACCAGCATTTCTCTCTGCTGAGAAGAAATCTCTTATTATATAGCCAAGACTTCTATAGACGTTGCCTGAAGTATTGTAAATCCCATGTCCCTGAGAATATGGTATCACTTTGTAGTCTTGCTCTGTGATATTCAGCAGCAACTTGGTTTCAAGCCAAAACGTCTGGATTTTGTTTATGACAGCCACGTTGGTACTGTAAATTTGTCAATTGCCATAAAAACTAAAAGTCTTACAGTCTGAAGTCCTGATCTACTGAAAATAGATTTCTCATCGATATGGAAACAGACCTGCGTTCTGGTCTGTTCAGGCAGATGGCTACCAAGTCTGGGAATTTTCACTCTGGCTTTGTTCATAAGTGCTGAAATTCTCCATTAAAATGTTTGAAGTTCTTAGAGAAGGAGTGAAGAAGTTAGCATATGTTGCTTAGAACACATCAGTTTAAATTTTGTAATATAATGCTTAGAAATGCTTTTGTCATTTTCTGATCTGCTTTGGTGTGCCAGTGGGATGAGCCCCATTTGAAGTGATTCCCACCTATTTTTCACAAATGTGAAAAAAGGAGGAATGGATTGCTGTAACAGGATGAGTTCACGAGGAAAAAGTAAATAGAGAAAACCAGTGTGGTATTGAGTCATGCTGCCTGTAACTGAAAGCAACCAGTTGATTAGGTAATACTGTAAGATTTGGACTGAGTTGCTTGGGTCAATTATTCTTACCGTTCTGTTCTTGTGCAGGCTGCTGTGTTGCTGAAAACCACGACTAGCTGACCCCGTCTTCCAGGCTGCGTGCTCCATGCTTTGAGACCGAGGGGACCTTGGTGTTCTGAAATGAAGATGGAGGCAGTGGGAAAAGCAGAAGAACTTTTGGATTCAGAAGTTCCACAGAAGGCTTCTGAGAAGCAGGAGACAGCTGCTGATGAAGATGGACCTATAGAACTGGAGACACATACTCAGAAAGACAGCGTGCCCACTGCATCAGACTCTGCAGTGCTCTCTTCCATGCCTTGCTTACTGATGGAACTGAGACGAGACTCCTCAGAGTCTCAGCTAGCATCTACAGAGAGTGATAAGCCAGCGGGTGGTCGAGTTTATGAGAGTGACTCTTCTAATCATTGCATGCTTTCTCCTTCTTCCAGTGGGCATTTGGCTGACTCAGATACGTTGTCTTCCACAGAAGAGAATGAGCCCTCTCAAGCTGAAGCTGCTGTGGAAGAAGATCCTTCTGGGGTCTCTGGGGGTGCAGCTGGGAGGAAATCCAGGCGATCCAGGTCCGAAAGTGAAACTTCAACAATGGCTGCCAAGAAAAACCGACAGTCTGTCGATAAGCAGAATGGTCGAGTTACCAAGGTAAAAGGTCACCGAAGCCAAAAGCACAAAGAAAGAATCCGGCTGCTAAGGCAGAAACGGGAAGCAGCTGCTCGCAAGAAGTACAACCTGCTGCAGGACAGCAGTACCAGTGATAGTGACCTGACGTGTGACTCGAGCACAAGCTCATCAGGTGATGACGAAGAGGTTTCAGGGAGCAGCAAGACAATCACTGCAGAGATACCAGGTAGAGGATGTTTTTTAAACTGAACTGTAACGCATCTGGCATCGTTTCTCAGCTGTCATGTTAAGTTAGATGAGTGACGCTTGAGAAAGCCTAGGAGAACTGCAGCTCTGTGTAAATTTGAAGACTGCAGTATATTAGCAAGATATGGGCAAATTTTAAAATCCATTCTGAGGTTTTAGTGCACTTCTGCACACCAACAAATTTTAGAAGTGGTAAATTGGAGGAAGGACTGTCTTTGAATTCTGGAATTTTCAGATCTTTTCCTTTCTAAGGCTATATGAATTCCTATCAGTGCTGTTAAATCCCATTAGTTGGTGATAATCTAATAAATTCATTCTTAAGATAAGTGGCCAGCTTTGCTTTAATACACTAAGACCACAGCTTGACAGCTGTGTTGGGAACAATATAGCATACCTCTTGCCTGTGTTACAATAAGGCCCTACTTACTGTTGCACTTATGCTGTGCTTTCAGCTCTCCGTTTCAGTGCATGACAAATGTACTTAGCCTTATTGCAAATTCTTGCAGATTGCAGCTGGTCACCTATTTTAGGACATAAATATGAATTTGTTTACACAGATGCCCAAGCTGTTTCCATTTATAAATTTGCAGCATTTCAGACAAAGCTGTTATCATTTTCCTATGTGATAAGAATCTATAACATTTATGTTTTTAATTTGCTGACACGTCTGTGCTAAAAGATTGGAGGCAGCAAATTATAGGGAGATTCTTATAGCTTTATTAGTTGAAAGAAGGATAAATTCTTGAAGTTTCTTGTCTGCTGAGGCTTTGTTTTATTAGCCCAAGTGCCATGGACAGGATTGTGTATACTGCTCTTACGGAATACTATACCAGAGAACCATCATCACATGACAATCAGAAATAAAACTACATAAGAATAAAGTTTTTGGCTTGCCAATTTTTACTGAGTTACATGACTTTTTGCCTTTTGTGCTAGAAGATTTTTTTTTTAGATAAGTTTAAGTTTACATAGGGTGAGAAAACTTTTAAGGAAAACTGCAGTAGCTGGTCTTCACTGTCTGAACTGTTTACTAGATGTCTTATTTAAAATATCTGCATCAGGTTTTGCACATAATGGTCTCTGTTCTAACTGGCTTGATGACAGTGAACAATTTTGCTGCCATGAGAACTGGCCTTTCTCCCACATATTGCTAGGAAGCAGGTTGCACAAAGGAAGTTAATGTTTATTATTGGAAAGTCTGGGAAAGGCATATTCTTCTTGTAACGTGTAGTAAACTTTTAATAGATGCTTTAAAATTATTTTTCCAATTTAGTAGTTGGTCAAACTTCTGGTTTTCATAGCTCTGTGCCTTTTTTTTTTTTAACTGCTTTTTTTTTTTTTTTTTTTTTTTTTAAAAAAAAGCTATGTTTACACTTTACAGGGCAATTAAGACTTAATATAAAGCCCATGGAAGAAAACTTTCATTCAATTTTCAGATGGGTCAACCCCTCCTCTCCAAAAAAACTCCTCACCAAATCCCCCAGGGTATATGTTTTTATTTTTTATGAAGTCATAAAGCACCTTTTGACCCAGAAAGGTCCCACTTGGTATTTGTCAGATCTGCCTAGATTCTTGACTTGCATTGCTGAGTTTGGAAACCATTCTTGAGTACTTTTCTGTGCTACTGGGCTCCAGCATTTGAGTGTAGTGAAATGATCCCACTGCAGTATATAGAGAACTTGTAAATTTAATGATTATTAAACACATCTTTTGATTTTTGCCTCCGTTGCAGTATGTGGGTGTGCAAAAGCCAGCCTGGAGAACAGTGACCTTTATTGTTAGTTCATAGCTCCTATCATCCGAGTAATAATAAATTACATTATGAGTAACCTGGAATCAGGCATAATGTGCCTGGCAGATTGTGGGTTTTTTTGAGGCAGAATCGTCTTTGGTAGATGCTTGGTAGGAAACTGGCAAGTACAAGAGTACAAGAGAGAAACATGCTCTATAGAGACAAGGACAAAGGTAGCCAAAAATGCATCCTGTGCTTCTCTGGGTTAATAAAGCGTGGGCTTCACAGATGCAGCGGAGCCGTGAGCCTGGCAGGGACTCCCTGTGCTCCATTGCAGTGTTAGATCCATGTGCTTCCTGTGGTCCCTCTTGGTGGGTTTACAGAGTGCTTAGCTGAAGTCACTTTTCTGAACAGAAAGCATTTTTAATGCTCTTAGCGCTGGGCTCTAAACAGCCTGAGAAGTTAGGAATTAACAATTAGAAAATACTGCAGGGTAAGCTTTCCTGGAAATTCAGCCATGAGTATCCTCTGCACAAAGTCAAAAAGTAATAGACTTCATTTTTAACTTCACACTTGAACTTCATTGTCCAGAAACTGCAGTACGTCTGTTGGAACATACAAGGCAAGGAAACATACAGCAAGGAAAAAGCACTGTCATTTACTTTTGAAGAAGTCCGCACCTCTCGATGCAGAGGAGTTTGTGTTTTTCCCATAGTCTTACTGCATTTGGATGCCTCAGCAGTACTGTTTGTTCCAGCCTCAATATGGCTTATTATTAGGACTGATTTTCAAACCTGTCTGTTGCCTGGAAAATAGCTTTGCCAACAGAGATGCTGTAAAACTTTTAGCGATAGTTCATTTAATATGGCCTTTATAACAGAGGCTGTGTGTACCCTAACTCTTAACCTTCTGCTGAAACTTATAACAGAAGACAGTTTACTTGTGTAAGGTATGAAATTTGAAGTGCCAAATTTGAGAGTACAATAATGTTTTCATGTCAATCACCACTTCCATCCTAATAGTGCAGTCATTTAATTTTTTTTTAAACCATTCACATGACTGATTCTGAAATACATTAGGATAGGAGAGTAAGGTAAGGAAAACATTCACATGGGTGCACGATGGTGTGCTGAACAGATGTAGTGTTATTAGCTTCATTTTGTTGTGTGTGCACCCAAGTTGGGAACTAAGCAGTTGTGCAATAGAGTCACAGTCCTCTGCTGAACTCCATTAAAATGCTCTGGCTTGTTTTTCTTCTCCACAAAGACTGGAGAGAAGAGTTGAGATCTAATTGGTCATACAGTAGGGACCAAGCTCAGTGTGGTGTATTATTCTTAACTTGGCACCATATAATATATATATTCAACCTGAAAATACAGGCTCGATCAAAATTTCATGGATGCTCCTGAGAATTTTTTGACTGACCTGAGCAGTTGTACGTTTGGGCTCTTTATTTCATTCAGTGCAATGTTTTTTAATTATTGCAGATGAGGAATAATCTGTTATATCTTAATGACTGAGCCTCTCTGTTGGCATTTAAAACTGTGCTGTTCGTTAGGGAATACCAGATAGCATTCACTTCAAGCATAAGGAAATGATCTTTGAGTCCTGAAACTGGTTCTGCTAGACTTACTGCTGGTGAAAGATTTTTCTTTAAACAATTTCAAATTTAATCATGCCAATTAACTCTGAATGAAATTAGGATAAGAACGAGTCTAGGAATTAATATTTATTTCTTTGTAAATGCTTTTCTTTGGAAGGAGGAAGGTTTGCTTAACAGATCATAATGTGAAAAAATCAGTTTGCCACCATTGTGCTTTCTGCAACTCAGATTGAAGTCTGCATTGAAATAGGAGGAGGCTCTTGTTACAGGCTTTTAAAAATCTCTTTTGAGTACTGATGCTGAAGGACGTGTTGCAGCTCAATGGTTTAAAAAGGAAAAGCAAAAAAAAAAAAAAAGCACAGTATGTGTGAGCCAGTTTGCTTTCTCTTAAGATGAGCACAAAGAGCTTTGAATGGAGCATCTGCCTTAGGGATGAGTTTTATTGGAGTTCCACACAGTGGTATAAAAGGGACAAATGAGAGATTTGCAGTGAGATACTCATTTGGAAAGGCAAGGTAGAATAATGACTACATGTGGTCCACTATTGCTGACTAGAATGGAGATGCAGCGTATCTTCTTAGCTGTTAGGTTGTCTGATCCCTTAAATTAAATAACTTTGGTGTTTATTTGGTAGTATTTAACAGATCCTATAAAGAGACAGCGCAGGGAATTTCTTAGGTACTGTTCTGCAGGTGATACTGACTTGGCATAGCTTCTAAAATTGTAGGACTGCAAGCTCACAGTTAGCAATGGGACCAGTTTGATAAATGCTAGCTTTTTCATATAATAATTAGAAATGCTCTTTTAGACTCAATTTTTCTTAACACTAAAGATAATGAGTAAAGAAGTGGGTAGAGCCTGTTAGAAGTAGAGCCACAGAAAGAGCACTTGAAGCAGTTTGCTTTGCTGCCACTGTCAATTGTGGATGTAGTGTGATGCCCTTAAAACAAAAAACTATATTGCAGGGTAATATATCTTTCAATACATAGGTCCTTTAGTTGACAAAACAGTTTTGTCAGCTTTGACTGTGCTAATTCATTCTTAACTTTAGAAGCCCGGCTTATTTTATATCGTGTACCACTATCAATAGTACTTTTTTGTTTAAATTGCAGTTAAAACTTGCTTAATATTACTTACATGTTTCTACTCTTAAACGTGTGGAAGGCAGAAAGACCCCTGTTTAGTTCTTTTGTCTTGGGATAAATCCCTGACTGAAGACTGAATAGAATCACACTGGAGTATGTGGACAGTGTAATATATATTTTTTTCTGTTTTAGGGAGCCAACAGGCAATTAATATTCAAAAGGAACTACATTTTAGGAAAAAAGAGGTATTATTTTACTCGATTATTTTCAGTTAAATGCCAACATGGAGATGGAAGGTAATTACTACACGGCAATTCGCTTTTGAGCAGAGGACCGAAATGCTGAATTTCCAGCTTATCTGGCAGGTAAACAGATGAGACTTCCAAAGTAGGGTCTTAAATAGAAAGTCTCTGGCCCTCAAGTGGTAGCATTGCTATGGCTTGAAAATAAGAAGAGAATAATATTGGGCTTTGTTTGGCTGTTGCTTACTGAAAGACTTCAGAATACCTCATTTAAATAGCTTTTAAAAGAATGTATTGATAGGTGATACCGTAATTTCA